AACTACATCTATCATCCGCAATGTGGTTGCATGTTTAGTGTCCCTCCTCAACGCCGCACCACTTCGGGTTGCGAAGGTACGCACTTTGATGTAATTCTCGACTGTTGGCGGTGGTTTGTTCGTGGCTGTTCTACACTTGCTGTGTCTCTGTTTGTTTTTGCTGCTTTCAGGTCTGTGCTGCCTACTGCCGTGCGGAGTCCTCACTCTACACGTATTACGCCACACAATGGGGTCAGGAGGTAGGTGTGCGGGGCTTCGCGAGCGCCGCATCGTCACCTTGACCTATCTCTGTTTCGGTTGGGTCTAGCCATGACCACTGTAAACCTATTCAGTTCGTGGTCTTGCTTGAAAATCCGCCCCGTTAACCTTGGGGGCACAACTGACCGACCTTCCCAAGCTCCTTCCTATTTTTTACGCAGTGCTGGTGCCAAGGACCCGACATTGACCTCAGGCATGGCGATGGCACATGCGACTATGTCTGTAGTGGTGATTCTTCCATCAAGTGCGGCGGCTTCGATTCCTTCACTCTGTATGAGCTTGAGTCAGAGGGCCTGCCGGTTGCTCCTATGGGCGACAACTACGTCGGTTGCTTTGCAGACGACAAGGAGGACCGCGTTCTCGGTTCCAAGATGTCATCCGGCTCGATGACGCCAGAGGTACCACTGTTCCATGCTTTGGTATACACTGAAGATCGCATAATAAAGGAAACTTCGACCACAACATCGCTCCCCAAGGACCCACGGTGGTCGACCATGTTCGGCGTGTTGCGTCTTTGCTGTTGAGAAGCACGACAAACACTAGACTACTAGTCAGCGCTGACAATAGAAGTCCAGCGGTCATCGTGTTTCTCAATAAAAGTTCGTGCTCGAGTCAGTCAAGCGTTCTTTCAAGCCAACAAAACGTCCCGCCAGGGTTTCCATCCCTGTAATCAACGCTGTGCTTGCCAGATCGATACAAGGTGGTCGTCGGCATATTTTGCGAAGCCAACTGCTTCAGACATTTTTTTCCTTGGTTTCAGGCGCAAATATTTAAACCAATGGGAGAATCGAACCACAGTAGTCAGCGCTGATTACAGTCCAGTAGCCATCGTGCTTCTCAACATTGCCATCTGGTTTTACGTAAGCAATTGCACTGATCGTATCGTGGGCTCTTGTTTCTGACGTTTGCAGAACGTCCGCCCCGTTCACCATAGTTTGTACCCTCCCTACCGTTGCTGTATCGTGCCGGCTCCAAATAATGCTGTGGGAAGAAGCATGTCAGGACTACCGAGTGGTGTTCATCACGCCGAAACCTTAGTTCGACATGTCATTGCACCGAGTAAATAAGCCGGCTGTGTTGTAGCCTTACACTCGATACATTCGCTGTTTTCTCGCTTTATCCGACTTCTCCCGATTTCCAGGTCTGTGCGGCCTACTGCGCAGATGATTCCCCTAGCCACACGTACTACGCAACGCAATGGGGCCGAGAGGTGCGTTTCGGACCAAAGCTACGTATATAAAACGACGGCGTGTTGCATCTGTTTCTTGAGCACGAAGCGGGGTGAGGCCTTCGCTTCACGTTTTTGCAAGCAAACCTTCGTTGTTTCTGCTTTTTTGTTCCGGTGCCTGCCCGCATTACGGCACGTGTGTTGTCACCAACAAGCTCGAGAAAGGTTTTGTCTAGTTGGAATAGATACTGCCAAAGTTGCGGCGAGTGCACATGGCCTGGTACACGCAACGGGATGTCATAGTGAATGCGAGATTCCATTCTGCGGAAACCGGGGGGAGGGGTATATTTTCTCTCTCAGTTCCGCGATTAGAACCCCAAAACGACATTTGTTTACCTCTTCAACACCATGGGTTTGGAAACCGGCGAGGTTTCCGCTGTTCGCGTTGTGTTTGGTGCAAACTCGTACAGTTTACGGTGCGGGATTCCCTCCCTTGTCTGCTCGATCTTTCTCGTCCGCAGTGTTGGTGTGCACGCGATGTTGACTACAGCAGACACGGTGAAGGCTCGTGCGACTACACATGTACGGGAGACTCAGGCACGACGTGTGGTGGATATGACGCGTTTGATCTCTTCAAGCTAGAAGAAGACTCGTTGTCCCCGCCCTCGGAGGACTACTATCTGGGGTGCTTCGCGGACGACAAGGGGGACCGCGTGCTCGAGGACAAGATCTCTGCCAGTGACATGACGTTAGAGGTAAAAGTCCACGCTTGGCGCTTGCAAGATCAACGCATCCCGACGTGTTTTCTATGTTGATACACACGCACATGTCGACGTGACAAGAGATGGGGGCATGCCGTCTCCATGCAACACGAGCAAGGCCGGTGTTTCGCCGACGCATGAGATATTTCGACAACTGCCTCATGAGCAGCTTGAGCAAAGAGGTTCCATTCCGATGCCCGCTGTATCCGTTTGGCATGAACTCCAAGACGTGCGAGGAGCACTGTACGGCCTTGGACAAGCCGTTCTTCGCTCTTCAGTGGGGTAAAGAGTGAGTGTCACCTTTCGACGTGGGGTAGAGAGGCAGTGGCTATTCAGAAGTGGTGTAGAGGAAAAACAGGTGTGCATTATTCTATTGAAAACTGCGATCGTTGCGGGTTCTCGCCGTAGAAGAGCTGCATTGTTGAACCTGTTGCAGACTAAAGGAGAATGTCGGGCTCGGTTTGAATGTGTAGCAGATGTTCTCACTCTGAGCAACCGAAGGATTCGTTCTTGGCACGAAACGCTCTTGGTGTCAACCACACAGCACCATAGCTGTTCGTTCCCCAGGAAAGAACGGCAATATCGGGCGTCCAAACCGCAGTCATCCCACGAAACCCACGCGGCTGGCAAGCAGCCATCTTTGTTTCGTTCTCTTCCGTTGCAGCAAAACACCCCGTTTTCAGCGTGATGTCACCCCTACCAACCCTTCGTGGGTTGGCTTTCCTGTTCGTCGAAACAGTCCACGTGAGTTTTACCACGTAGTTTCAATATGCGTACCAACGCACGAACCATCGGTTGTCAATGGACTCTGTAGCGGAAAGGGAGTATATATATATGTGTCGAACATGGAGATAACCAGGAACGGGTTTGGGCAAGTGCGCGGTCCGTTGGTGACGTCCTGTTTACACGAAGTCTCGGCAACTCTATCCATGTTTCTTCTCAACTCATCAGGTGCTGGTGCGGGGGTTGCGAACTGCAGGATGACGACCTCGACCGCTATGATCGACATGGTATTGCCTCGTGCACCGACTACCCGTGCACCGGAGACGGTTCTCGCCAATGTGGTGGATACGACAGCTTTTCCCTGTACAATCGCGACACTTGCGGTGAGTTAATGTTGGGTTAGACAAACCTGCAGCCGTAGTCGATTGGTCTTGCCGTGAATTCGGCCGGTTTCGTATTGGTTTGATGCACCCAAAAGGGATTCCAGGAGATTATCGACTCGGAGAGGTTCATCCGCCGAGGGGAAAAGTGCGTACGAAAATTCCAAGTGTTGCTCAGGGAAAGAATTGGTCTCCTGTGCCCCCTGCGCAAGCTGGTTCACGGAAAGGAACGCGAAACACTAGCAACAAGAAACCTCACGTCCTGACTTACATCATTTCATAGGCTCTGAACCTTGGGCATGCGTGTATTGAGTAACGGCAAAACAATGTAAATTGATTCTGTCCCTGGTATAGCCGGATGTCCGTGGTCCTAGCGGTCCCGTGGGGCTTATGCCCTCCTGGGACCCTGTATATCCCGCGACCAGAAATAAAGCTAAGAAAGATGCATTCAACAAGTATTTTGCAGCCGTAGTCAAGGAGACGGCGATGAAGTGTCGCACGTGTTGTTACCCCCCAAAAACTGATAGAACACCCGTCGTCTTCTCCATCCGTCCGGCATCGGTTCTTTTGTCGGCATCGGCTCTTTGATCCCGTCATGGTTTTCAGGAGGGGCTTCGCCGACGCCGGTGGCATCGTTAGAGCCAACTCCCACACCGATGTCAGAGTCAACTCCCACACCGACGTCAGAGCCAACTCCCACACCGATGTCAGAGTCAACTCCCACACCGACGTCAGAGCCAACTCCCACACCGATGTCAGAGTCAACTCCCACACCGACGTCAGAGCCAACTCCTACACCGATGTCAGAGCCAACTCCCACGCCGACGATTGTCCCGGTCTCAGGCAAGTGGATGCAGGTTTGCAGCTTTCTCCCAACCCGTCCGCACGTACGACCGCCAATAGCTCGGTGTATGGTAGCCACAAGCGGTAGTTTTTCTGCAGCGAGTGAAACACGTGCTTACTCGGCATGGATTACTGGATCACAACTGAGTTCCTGATATCTACCAACGGCGTGGACGTTTGATTTCCCTGTTTGAGAAGCCGCAGTCGGCGGAATCCCACGGTAACTCGACTAGGGAATACCCGCAATGCATGGCAAACCTACATAAAGCGCATTTTGTGCAACGCCGAGTTTTTTTTTGTGGGGTCGCGAAAACCATGGCAAAGCTTCAACATGCGAGAGGTCACATGAGCACATGTAGGCAATCATCATATAACGACCAATATCATTGGTTCGTCTCAGATTATACGGATTTAACTCCTAGCTTTTTCGACTTGATACCCACTCGCTTCCCTTCCGCAGACGATACCGTGTGTACGATGGAGGTGACGGAAGCGACGACAGTGCCAACAACGCTTGGTGGATCGTCGTTGACGGTGACATCGTCTCTGTGCGAGTTCGACCCCTCCACCATCTTCGAAATCTTTGCTTTCGGCGAAGACGACCTGTACGTACATCATAAAACCTGTTCACTCGGAACGTGTCCTCCGCAAGATTGAATATCTTTTGATTGAAGCGCTCTTTCTTCACTTTGGCACCGTGGAGCAGGCGCAGATCGCTGCCTTGTGCAATACCAATATGGGAAGAGTCCGACATGATGTGGCGCGTTTGGATAACCCTTTTGTCGCCACCCTGGAACGTGCATGCTACCCATCCGGCAGCTTGGAGACCGTGGCCGGAGCCGTCATCGATGCTACTACCGCAAAGTTCACCTTGCCGCCGTTGCCCACGGATACCACAAGTGAGGCACCCTTGTTACGGATAGTGAAAGCGAGTCCTACGCCTCGATAAAGCTGCCTCGTGATCTTCTTGTCAGCCCGCCATCTTGGATGTACCCGCCAAGAGTTTCAGTCTTGTGCCGGTGTTCTATCGGCTAATCAAGTGGGGACAAGGACGCATAGTCGAAAGCTCGCCGTCGGTAAAGTCTGCTGATCAATACCGTCCTCTCTCCCCCTACGCGCATGTTTGGAAACGATTTATTTCCTCGGTGTTCTAGCCGTTACGGTCGTGGCTAGTTCTACTACCGGCAAGGGAATTGTTGGCGACATCGTGCTGTACGATCTCGTCAGCCTTTTGGAGTCCCCGCTCGCCAGCTTGAGCGATACCGATGGTGCCGCGCGCTCGTCGGTCATCATGGACCCTCCTTCCGACCTCCAGCTGGATTGGGACGCCTCATCTATTTCGGCTGATGCCGTTGAGATCGTGTTGGCGCTTGTCGTGGAGGACACCGAAAGCTTTGAAGATGTCGCTGTCTTGGACGTGGTGCCCAACACGGGTTCGTACCTCATCCCGTCCACTGCGTTGGAAGAATTTGACCTTGACGGCAGCTTCGTCTTCTTCAAGGTACGTATCCGGCCATCTCAATTTTTGTGTTTTGTCGCTTGCATCTGGGCTGTTGCCGGTCGTGCACGTCAGTTGTGACGGAACCCTCTAGTGCCCGTGTTCTACGGTAATGGCATCAGTTCATGCCGGCGCAAAAAATAGGCGGTGGCTACATGGATCTTCTGGAGGAACGGGATGAAATCGTTCACACTTCGCTCTTCGAAGACAAAAATATGCAGTTGCGAGTCACGCGAGTTGGTGGAGTCCGCGAGTGCAACGATCTAGATGCAATTAACCAAAGAACGCTGCATAAAGTTCGACGAAAGGACAACAATGAGGCTGGGAGGTACACCAAGACGAAAAATGTAAGCACCCGTGACGAATCCACCAATAGTTTGACACGATGACGAAAATCTGCAGAAGCGCATGTACATCATGCGTCCGGGTTCCTCCCCCTGCTGCAGATCGTCGGCAGCACCGCGAGCCCAACACGTCGTCTCCAGGACAGCGGGATCGATCCGATCGTTTTCCCCGAGATGGTGACCACGGGCCAACTGGAATGGATCCAAGATCTTGAAGGGAACGATTCCAGCACTACCCTGTGCGGAACGGCATTTGCCGACGACTACTCGAGGTGGGTGTACTCACGTACAAAAGGCGGCACTGGAAAGCGAGTTGGATGTCATTTCACGACGGTTATGCATCTTCAGTCTCTACGAGTTCTCCCTCTAGTGCAACCACGGCTGGAACGCAACAATTAAGCATGCATGATCACTGCCACCCCTTTGTTCTATTCGCAAAATTGTCGTCACCTGATGCCTTCCTCACAAACCGCGATGAGGTTCACCTAGGTATAGTAGACCTTGGGTATTCGATGGCCTGTTGATCGAGAGCATCACAAGCGGCAGGCCACCCATCAATATGTGTTGTGCTCTACAGTACGTCAAACATGTATCTTGCTCGAGTCACAACGGTTTAAATGTAGACTACATGGGCAGGGCCCATGCTACTTCTGAATGAATTCAGTCGATGTTCAACGCAGCGCCATGCCCACGACGTTTCTGTTCAACAAGCGAAATTGTGTTCCAGGCGCTTGCGTATATATATGCGTTTGTCCAGACACATTAATGTTTCGAACCGTAGGTACCGCGTCCTGATGAATATCCAATTCCCTTTCAGATGCCAGTGCTTTTTCGCAGCGGAGAAAGTGAAGGAAGGCCGCGGTGTGCAGCTCGATACGTTCGATGAGGAATTCCGGTGCCCTTCGAACATTGAATGCATCTTGGAAGCACCGCCAGGGCTCGTCACGGTATACGCGGTATGTAGACTATATTGCTTGAGATTGTTGCTATCGACACTGCACCGAAAGCCGTGATGTATCGGAGATATATACTTCTTGTACTACGGCATGGCGGCCGCCCACAACGGGGCGGGACGGCCGCCGGGATCGCACAACCGTCTTGGCGTATGGGTAGATCGGATTGAAAGTAAACCAGGGAATACGGAAGAATGTTGACAATGCCAAGCTTTTTGCGTCTTTACGGACGTGCCCCAGTCATCTCGCCAATAAACGCGACGGAAGCATATGTTTTTTGCTTTACGGGCAACGGTCTCAACATGAGTGTATTTTCATCCGCCAAAAAGCCGTATTGGATGATTTAGGACGAAAAAATACAAACAAATAGAGGTCAACTTTGGTAAAAAAAAAAAGCAACAGCATATATAGGCACACTAAAATGATCATGTACGCGTGATAAGGACTTCTGCTATGAGGATGTAGAACTAAGAGATTGCTCCTACGTATTCGGAAAGAGGCACAGTGTAATATGATCACCAAGTCGCTATCCTGGAATGCAAGAACATATGCATACGTCACCGAGAACCGATGACTGATCGCAAAATCAAGGGCAAGTTGTCGAGTTCGACGAACGAACGCAAGGACGCATATCCCAGAGCGAGTCAAGTACAAACGCATGCAAACGTAGCCGACTTTCCTCAAACGCATGTGCTCCTGGAGCTCATGGTCAACGATGTGTTGCAACATGAATATCCTCCGCCAAGTACGCCCATCTGGTCGAGGACCTATGTATGCCGCGTGTTTATCGAGTGCCTGCTTCACGCTCTTCATATATATTTATTTCTAACCCACCCTCATGACGACCTCAGGAACGTACTCGTGTCACTTTGTACTTGAGGGGCTGAGCCGAGATACCGTGAACCAACAGCTGACCTGTCATCGTTGTTAACCCTATTTCCCATAACTTGTGCGGCGTACGTCGCCGATCTGTGGATGACGCCACAGAAAGGGGGAAGTTTCACGTTTGAAGACCTGAATTCGGGTTCCTTGATCAGCGGATGGAAAAACGATCTAGCGTGCCCCTTCGGGAGCTGCGAGTTCGACTCCGCTGGAGACGACCGAGAACTCTTGTCGTGTAAACGAGATGGCGTCACGGCGTGGATCTGGGACAAAACGCTCGGTAAAACACTTGCCCCGGCATGCGACCTACACCCCGGAGCGGCGTTCTGTGTGCGTTCAAACGAGGCCACGAGTGGTGGCACCAACACCGGCATCGGCAACCAGGTGTGTGTGCGGCCGGCCGTATGAGTTCCTGAGAAACTGCTGAGCACTTGGTCCCTCCCGGAAAACTGCGAGAAGAATTGAAGCCGCGCCATTACCGTAAACCTGTAGTCTGCAACCCCTTGGCCAGATGGTGCGTATCGATATTTCCTCACCTTGAAACCTTCCACAACCGAACCAACCTGTTCTTCGGTCGTTCCACGTGCAGTGATTTATCCCACTGTTGGGACGATTGAACTTCAGATCAGCAACTTGTGTTTCCTTCGGTGGTATTCTTTCGGCCTTGCCGTGCTTGACGTGCGTGAAGCATCATCGAGGGCCCTATACTCTCGTCGAAAGTGCTTCGCGCTCCATGGTGTCGGATTGCACCGAGGATGACGTTTTCCGGCTGATCACAGCAGAGACGCTACGGTGACTTTTAACCCACCCTTGTAGCCTAAACACAACACTCTATGTGACCCCTTGCCAGAGCTCTTCTAATGTAGAGAGGAAGGCTATTCCGGTAGTTAGAATGTGAAGCGAGGGTATCTGTGGGAGGAAAACCAGTTTTCGTTATCAAAACACGAACTGATTGCTCATGAATCTGCACCAACAATTATTGAGTACAACCAGAAAGTCTGCCCAAAATATCTATTGCCGTCACCCTCGTTTGAATCGTGTTGCAGTGCTGCTACGACACGGCGGGAGATATACTGGTTGACGCAGTTGATGGCGGAGGCACCGTCGACCGGCACGAATCGGAACTCGGCGCGTTTGGTGACCACAAGACAGAGGACACGTTGCCGTTCGACTGGTGCTGCGGTGGCGGAGAATCGGTCAACTCCTGGCTGTGTCAGCTGTGTAAGTTTTCCGCTGTATGTACTCTCTTCTTCCTCAATTGCTCATGATACATTGGCGACACATAACGAGTAAGGTATGACACTGGTTAAATCACCGTGTCGGACAGTCTGCACGTAGTGCTCGAGATTTTCGCCCCGATACCCAGGCCAATATCGTCCGCCCTCCCTTCTCCCGACGCACGGCATTCCCGATCGAAGATATTGAAATGAGACCCGTAGACGCCGGCGACGGATACACCGCATCGCTGCCTACTTGTTCGGCGGCACCAGCGGGCGGCGACATCGTGTCCATGACCCTACCATTTTCGGTGCAAGTGCCAGACCTAGCTGAATCAAGCGTTGACTTCGGCCTCCTCGTCGATGTGTCCGGGAGCTATGGGTGAGGCAGACGCCGTCGTTGGTTCATCTTTCCATTGGCAGCTGAATATCGATCTTGATTCTTCTCGACTCTGTTCGTTAAATGTACCTGCTCGCCCGGTGCGTAAGCGTGTGCGAAACGTCCCACATTTCAAGCAACGTTTGTTGTCAGAGACGGAAAAAATGTCGTTTGTTGTAACCGCAAGAGCTGAAAAGCATCATTGTTGGAAAACTCGGGAGCCGGTACGTCGTAGACTTTTGCGTGCTCCCCCCCAAAACTTCTGGACACTAGAGGAGAGCACACGTGAATCGGTGTCGTACGTTGTAGCGCTTGTGGGCGCGAGAGACGACCTCGGAGTACGTGGGCATGCCGAAGGATTGAGGCACTGGGCACCATGAAACAGGTGGCCACAGGGCTTTTTTGACTCGGTCATTCCCGACCCCTGTGTGCAGTAACAGTAGCCGGTTTCCGCCGGCTGGGTGTAGCTGACTTGCGTGCGGAGAGAGAGAAAGATACAGTTCTAGAGGGGGAATCAGGCGCGAGGAGTGCGTGGTTTTTTCAGCGCCTACCCGTTCTCTCTCTTTATCCTTGGTGATCTCGAAATGATAATGATCAAGCAACTCGAAAGAAAACAGCAAAGTTTCATTTGAGTTATTTTGCTAAAAACAACACGCAGGGACGATATCGACAACCTTCAGGTCTTGGCTGCGGATCTGGTAGAAGCATTGTCAACGGACAGTGCCGGCGTGGACGTCGTTGATAATCGGCTGGCGCTCGGCAGCTACTCCGACTTCCCCGTGAGACAAAATGCAATTGTGAATAGACTAAAGATGTGTATGTAGACACGGCGTATAATGGCGTTCTCATCGATGTCGACACATTTGTTTCGCAGGATTCTGAACACAGCGCAACACCGTTCGTGAAACATGCTACACGTGGACAAGCGTCCACGGCCGTTGGTGGCAAAGTGTACACCATGGCAAAGATCTCTAGCGGCAGCAGATATCAGAAGTTGCTACTGAACAATGTTGTTCGCTCGGACCGTGTTTGTTTCGGGCGCAGCTAAGTTCTGTAGCACGTCTACGTGACCAAGCCGCAAGACAGAAACCGTTGCGTAGAGAAGTATACTCCACTGTAATGCCGTGCGAGTCGACGGCACACTAATAAGGCGGGGCCACGACGGCAAGTGTGCTTTGTACATGTTCGTACCCACTCACACAATCCGTGCGCCCGCCACTGTTTCAGATATGATCATCAATTCTTGCCTACGTGCGGGTCGACCATCGGCAGGTCACCGAGAATTGATCATAACAAATCCCTCACGTCCTACGGTACGGGGTGAACCCCCGACAACTGTACAGGAACTGAGACCGATGGCATGGTGCAGTGTCGTGCTTTTCCCGTGAACGGATTCGCTGAATACCATAAATTCGAACTATAACGGAGGCTACGCGAACCGCGTAGCGATAAACTATTCTAATACCGGGTCCAATTTTTCTCCCCAGGAGGTGGGGTCCCCTACCGACTCTGCATACACGGAGCTAAAGCCGTTCGGAAACTGCGGCGAAGGGACGGAAGAGGAAATTTCCACATGCTTTGAAGAAGAGCGCACAAGCTTCATTAACGCCGTCGATTCTCTCGAGTTAGGATATGGTGGAGATGGACCGGAGAGCCAGACCGTTGCGCTCGTCAGCGCGGCCGAGGGATGGGCCTGGCGGGACGCCGCCCTCAAGGTGTGGATATTGCGAGTGGGTGGCATTTGCAGCCATTTGCAACCGTGATGGCTCGAAATAAGTGTTGCGGCTACCAACTACGAGGATATAGATGCATTGCGATTTTGGTCAGCGTGAGCGCACACGAAGTATGTGTGAACGGAAGCTTACACTTCTTTGCAATCACAGAACCAGTGCACACAGCACAAGCCTATCACAGTTCCTACGCCTACCATATTATTTCACATGCTAACACCTGAATGTACGTGTCGCAACTCGTCCGCGCTTTGAGTAGGCGGAACACGTTTCGTGTTCTGATCATCCATTTGCAGTGAAAGGTGTGACAAATGCTGCACTTCTAGCCCCAGTCCACCCCTCTGGTATATAGTAACCTGACCGGGTTCTCAAGCGAGCCACCCTACAATGAATGTAACTCTTCCGGCCTACCCTTCCTCAGATCCTGGCGATCACGACCGACGCGGAGTTCCATGTACCTGGCGACGGCAGCGAATTGGCGGACCTATACTATTCTCTCGACGACGTTATTTCGGCCTGCTTGGCGAAGAACATCAAGGTGCCGTCGATAAATGGGCCGACCAGCAACAACGTCTTCCGTAGTCACGGGTCAACTATATCCCCAAAAGGGTACACGCTTCGAAGGTCGATAAAACAACGGATCAAGAGAGACCAAAACATGTCGAATAAGAAAAAATAATGAACCTTACATGTTGACCGAAAGTCAGACGTCGCTAGTGACGTGTATCGAGGAAAGCGGAAAAAACACAAAAAACTATCGCCCCCGCTCAGCACGCGATGCCAAGTAGTCGACGATTGCGAACAGCACAAATCAACGATGACCAATCAAGAAAACACTATCACGAAACCCAACCCTTCCCTAGTTGGCAGTACCAGCATCAATCTGATTTTGAGTTCCTATGGCTCCTGGCTTTTTTTGTAACCGAAATGGAAGGGTCGAAGTATGGCAGAACTCTTTCATCACTGAGCTGCTCCCATGCACGACACAGTTACCGCTGGCTTGCTTTTCGTACAATTTGTAGATCCTTGCCCTCAAGGCTCCTGGGGCGAGCGACGAGATGGACACGGTTGCCCTCGGGACCGGTGGAGTCGTGGAGACGACTGCGAGCGACTCCTCGGACATCGTGGAGAAGATTCTGGAGGCACGTGCACGGTGGCCCCACCCCATGTAGTAGACGTACCATACATGCCTATCGACGATCGTTGGGTGCCTTTGCACTAGTTTCATTCGGCAGGGAGCCGGAGACCAGCATCGATCGAAATCCATCGTCTCTTGCAATTGTGGCTGTACCGCGAACCAACAACACGAGAGTTTTCTTTCCAGCCGCGTACTATCGGACACCCCATCATCAAGTCCCTTCGCTTGGCGGTTGCCCACCGACCCACGCAGGGGATCGAGGCGGTCACGTACAACAAGGTCGATATCGAATGGGCCTGCAGGGATTCGGACTTTGAATTGAACTCCTGGGAGCACACGCAAGTCCCCAGCGAAGGTCACGAGGACGTTGAAGGCGGCGTGGAGTTGGAGTTTTCCGTGACTGTGTCCGTGCCTGCCAGTGTCACCGCCGGCAAACGATGCGTTGCTCTTGTGGTGGCTGATGAGGTAAGCATTTCCACGGCGCTCCGGATTCTCGAGCGTCTCTCACTGTTTTGGGGTATGCTACTTCGTGTTTTACCTTTTCCCTGCAAAGCCAGCAAGTAAACATTAACATTTGATGACAATGTTTTCGCAACGGCAACGCTGGGAGGTAAAGAGTGCTTGGAGCGTTCCACCTAAAGCCTTGTCGTCACCCCGTCGTACATCGTTCGTTCATGGTTGGCGCAATTCGGTATCGCAACGTGCTGAACCGGCTTTCGTTTGCCATTTTTCGCATGCTGCGCTGCGACGCTCTCACACTCGCGCAGGTGCTCATCGGTGGTCAGGAGTTTATTGCCAACGCGGACGGAACCATCACCGCCACTGCCATCACCGCTTCCTAGTCCGGCAATAGTGTACCGACAGCACGCCAACATGGAAGATGTTCGCCCTACCTAGTGAAGTCTGCTTGGGGACGTTTGAACCGATGAAATAACGTGGGCACACGCGATCGGTTGCGATTCTCTTGGCGTGCCCCAGGTTATTTTTTCGGAACTGTCTGTGTGCTCAAGCGCATCTTGAACAAGAACTTTGCAGGATGGAACTAAGAGGGTGATTGATTGGCGGCGCAAAGCTCACTTGGGACTCCCGAGCAGCGAAACTGAAACACTAGCTGTACAATTGGGTCATTGCTAGCACTGCTGCCGGCAATCAAGGGGGGGGATGCATGTCATGCTGAGGCCATGACCTTCTCCGCAGTTCTAGCGGACGTTCGGGTTTGGATTTCTATTCTGTTCCACGTTCTCCGCGTTTTAGCTGCCGAAAATGAGGGGGAATCCCCAAATATTTGTTTGTTTGCGATTCCGCGTTTTACCTGCGGAAATGAGGAGACCTCCATCCACAATTTCTTGTTTGTTCGCGATTCCGCGTTATACCTGTGGAGTTCAATCGGTAACTTGATATTCGTTTGATTTCTCGTTGTTAGGATTCGAGAGTTGATTCCTACATATATTTAGAGCTCTAGGACAGATTGAGTTCCATGGTAGGAGATATGTCAAATTGTCAATCAATATACATTCTGTACGCGTTTCTTGCGGTTAAGACGCAGTATTCGATGGACTGGATTCTTGTTTTTTGGAGAAATGCAACAGGGGGCTGTTTAGCTTTTATGTTTTGGGAGATGGCACAGCAGGAGGGCTGTTAAGAAATCCATGTCTCGATGTTTGGGGCACGTTATGGTAAGATATGGTTGAGGCCTATGTGCTTCCGAAGCTTATTTGAAATTGGTCAATGAGTTGAAACATCGTTTTGTGCGAGGATTCTCTTCGAAGTATTAGTTGACGCGTTTGGCCGGAGTTGTCCAGAGTCTTTATAACGTGGCTCTGATGTAATGTTATCTCTGCGAGTATTTTTCCAAGTACGATTCTTTGTTCTTGGCTACTTGGGAATTTGGTGGTTACATTTTCTTGAGAGGGGTGATTGTTAAGACTCTTAGAGTGGAAAATATTGAAATTCGATAAATCCGGCAGTTGAGATCATTTGCGGACATATTAGGTTGATGGGGGGTTTTGTTGCCGTTTTACCTGGCGATATGTACGGAGGGTCTCGTAGATCGTGTCGTGCCCGCGACCGTGATAACGCAATACAGCAATACAGAAGATGTCACGGGTTGCTGAGCACGCAAGAAGTTTTTAAACGTTTTCTCTTTGTAGCCAGCAGGTGCACTTTCATTAACCCAATCTCGCAGTGCTATCCAAATTATGCATGAGGCGTCACTCTCATCACAGCGCAATGGGGATGGCACAATCGCTCACCTTTACCTGCTTGCTGGAGCTATGTCACTCGGCTTCTCATCGAAGGAGGCTACAGGAGGCTTGTTGCAAAGACACAATTAATACCCTCTGATACTGCGGAACTCCCGGGGAACGGGGATCCCAGCGAACGTTTCTATTCCAACCTGCGGAGCTTCCCTACAACACAACGCACAAATCATTTGATCGTTTGCTTCTGCTCAAGAATTCTGGCGTTGTTTATCTTCTACTCGTGCACCTATTGTTGGTGTTGTCTCTACATCAAAAACCGTTCCGGTCTCTCCCCTTCTCAGTACCTTCTAATGTCCGTATTGGTGCAATAACTGACGCGGACGCCTTTCTTTGCCACAAGCCAACTGCCACTCCCAAAGGGGGGGCATACCTTTCTAAGTAAATAAGAAAGAAACAAATGGACCCCACCATTGTCCTCCAAGGCGCGAATTTTATTCCACCCAACCAAAAATGAAAATCTTAGGGAAACTAATCAAGATACAGAGACGGTCGATCCTGGTCAAAAGGGATGAAAGAACGAAAGACAAAGAAAAGAAAGCCAAAGAACAATAAAAAGGAAGATAGAAAGGTAGCAGGTAATGCGGGGGGGCGGGGGGGGGGGTTGGCGCGACGACGGGGAAAATATGGGGATACGTCCGGCTGGTGTATTCCTGCTATCGCCTCTATCATCATCAGTGCGGAACACACCTCTTTATCTGTTCAGCCATCTCCGTCCTGCTTCGGTTGCAGTCGTGAACGAAAAACCCGGGATACCACGTGGAACCTTGAATTAACGATACCCTCACCCTTCGTGGGTACAACCTTTTACTGTGTATGTCTCCGCTCCATTCCCCCAAATTTATTACTCGGCCAACCCGTCCAGCCTCCACCCCTGTGGGGCTACCTGACCCTCGCAACATATCGCAGGCTGAGGCACCGTACGCCCAACGCTCTTCTCGACTTCTTTGCTAGCGCGGACACTTACACATTATTGCACCTCTCCCGCTTCCTTTATACAAACCATAAGAGCCAGTGACTTCCATCGGCCTGCGTTGGATTTGCAACTCTGACTATCCTTGAGCCGCCAGTGGCGTGGCTCCCCCAATACGCCTCGAATGCAACGCGTGTTGAGCGAGATTATTTCCGGCGCTGGCTACCACCATTCGACGGCTTCCGTTCGGGTAATCACTTTCCATCCTGCTATCATGGGTCTAGTCATCAAAGGCGCGCCTCCAGGTAGTTGAGGGTTTTCATCAAGGAGCTCCACGAGCGCCTCGAATGCCCCGACCGGTGCCCCCCGCTTCAGGTACGCGCGTGCGTGCGATCGTGCACCCTTTCCTCAACTAATCCGCTGTTGATGCCACGAAATGAATCTTGACGGTATCGGCGCGTGGTGTATCGTCGATCCTGCTCTGAGTGCCTCCAAGAAAGAAAGCCACGCAGTCGGGCGTCAAACAAAACTCCGGGTGCACGAGCCCGTTCGCGTACGTACGCGCGAACAGTTCTGACATAGATCGGAGCAGGTACGAAATTGCCCATCCTAACCACATGACTTTTCCTCCCTCCTTGAAACTCGTGACCGCGAGGTCATCGTGTGCTACGATGGCCCAGTGAGAGGCAACCTTACTTGCGATTCCTTTCCAGACCCCCAACGGGTCCTATCCATCCATTTTCCTTCCGCTACGATCAAACAGTGTGGGATGTAGGGGGCTCCTACCCTAGATACAGATACAGCTTGTGGCAAAACATGATGGCCGAAAGGTACCCTCTGACTGTACAGATTGCTGGTTGTTGAACGCGAATGGGAACCTACATTGTTTGACATATGGGAATGCTGCTAATCGCAGTTGTTCCTGCTTTCGAAAGCTGTCCACTCGTTCATTCACGAACCCCAGGCAAAGCGTAGAGCGCAAGGGCGGGGGGGAGGTGCGGGCAACTTTTCGCGATGTATGGGCGAAGAAATAGCAAGTGTCTTCCTGCTTCAAGAGCGCGCTTTCACCGTTGGGTCAATCTATTCCTCAACTGACTGTACTGTCCACAAACTTTTTGCAAGAAAACAGCTTCATTCGAGTACAGCGTTGAACAACACCCCAGGTTTCTCGCCCTTGTCTATGCTGTCCGTTCATGTTCCTATTCCCTTGAGAAAGGCGCATTGTTTGAGGTATCGCACGCCTCCATCGACACCGACCGGGGATGGCGAGTTATCGTCCCCTAAATCTCAAGGACACTTCGCTCGGGTAAAGACACTCTTCACATAGGAAAATCATGTGTGTGTTGTCGGGCGGGGGAAGCAGTCTGTCCACATACGTACGTTCAACGACCACATAGTCACCAGGACACGAAAAACCCGATGTAGGCCAGAAATTAATTTGGGGCAAAAGAAAACATTCTATATTGTTATTGTTGTCTTCATATATAAAACCGTTCCGTTCTCTCTACCCAGTACATTCTTCTATCCGTACTACAACATTTGCGGACGCGGTCGATTCCCGTGATCACAGGCAAACTTACCCCAAAAAGGTACACGAAAGCTAAAGTGGATCCGAGGGACCGCAGATCAATAGAAATCAACGACAAGTAGTCTACAGTTGGACCCTCCGCTTGCCTTACGCTATGCGAAGTAACGATGGACTGGGTTGGTGCAATGGTGCAGTGACGGGGGGGGCGATTAGTCCATCTATCAAGGGGTTCAATCCGGCACAGCATTTCGCGCCGCCACTCGGTCCACCTCTTCCCGTTTTCTGTCTTCCCTCGCCGTCTCATCCGTCTGCTGCACCCCTCCCACCCCGTTGGGTGTTGTCGTGTCCGTGCTGTTGCCGGGCTTGTTTTTTCGTTTGAGCGCTCCTGGTCGGCTAGCCTCCTCTTCTTCCTTGTACCCGGCGGTCATGACCCGCTTAGCTCCCTGCAATACCCCCCCTATGTCAAGGTACACCCCACTCCATCTTCTCTGCTTCCATCCAAGTTGTTTGCGGTACTCCGAAGAAACATGGCTCGGTGCCCGTGGATCCGTTCTGTGCCTCGAACATCTTGAGGTCGTCCTTCAGGTACATCTGCCAGTTTTGATCCGGTTTCCCCCTGCCTCGGCCCTCCCCCCCTCCAGCTCGCCAAGCATCAACCTTTCCGGCAATCGCTGGTCCGGCTGCCGTGCCAATGCTCCCGCGAACAGCAGGCGCCGTTGCCGAACAGGGGCTTCCACGCTCCGGCATCCTAACCTCTTCAGGGTGTGGGCGTAGGAAAGCTGCCTGCAGGTGCCCTTCTTGCGTTGGTAGTCGATGACTCGCATGAGCATCCGGTGATGTATCGACTGCAACATCCGGTAGTATTAACGACGTGGGGCACACGTCATGCAGCCGTACAATAGCAGCAGCGCCTCCATCTCCTCGGCCTGGAGCAGACTGGCTTGAGTCGGAACGGTGCTTTCGGCCTGTAGAAGAGCTCTCGGCCATATGTCCAGACGCACGCCCACGCTATTCTGCTCCGGTAATGGATCTCCCGAGTGAGCTCGCCATGTTCGTTCAAGAGGCCAATCTAGATATTGGAGTTCAGCCGTCTGGGCGCACCTCTGCCCTGCTGCCTCGATTATAAGCGGTCGTGACGGGTGGAGCGGTGGTGTTGGCTGCCTGACACGCATCAGGAGTGTCTCCGCCTTCTTCTCCGATACCGTCAGCCCGAACCCCCCGAATACCTCCACGATGACGGTCATCATTCTCGCCAGTCCGTCGGCAGACCTCATACGACGCCGGCGTCATCGATATACAGCATCCCCCATGCCGCCCTCCGCACTTGGTCAAGTGGTGTCCCCGCCCTCGCTCCCGCCTTCTCCTCCTCCAGATACACCAGGTTCTGCAGAATTACATCATCCTCGCTGAATCGAATAACAGCGACCTAGGGGACCGCGGCGAAGATTGAACAGCAGTGGGGCAGCACACAGCCTTGTCATAGGCCTTGTGTGACCCAAACCCAGTCCGACAGCTCTCCGTTGTCCATGCGTACCCGGGCTCGCATTCCGTCGTGAAATTGGCAAATGACGGCGATCATCTTCTCGAGAATCCCGGCCCTGGCCAGCACCTTCCATTGCAGCTCTCCACCGAGTCATACGCCTTCTTCAGGACGGCGAAACGCATGCAGAGCGGAATTTTCCTTCTCAGCCCCAGCTCCTAGAGTCGGCGCACGACGAACAGCATGTTGATGGTGGATCGTGCAGGTCGGAACCCGCACTGTCCTCCGGAGGGTGCTGTTGGTTTCGCAGACGGCGCTATGTAATAGAAACAACACCTATCTCGCTCCGGGGTCATGATCGGGTGATGACCCAGTTACATCGAGATGGAGCCACCTTGATCGTGATCTTGATCATGACCTTCCGTGCTTCCGTCATGAGTCATGCCTCGGGCATGACCGAGTCATGGCCAGTTTATGACCCCGGCGTGGCCGAGTCATGGCTCGCCCATTGACTCGGTCATGAATCTCGCTCATGACCACGTTCAATTCTGGTGCTCCTAAGGTCACCTTTCTTTACGGGGAGGAAATCATAAAAGCACAGTTTTGTTGTGGGGGACGGAATGAACTATCGTTGGTTGCAACCGCAAGAGTTAATTATCTGGAAACGTAGAATAGGCTTCGTGTGCCACCCCCAAAAATTATGGACACTAGAGGGGATCACACGTGCACCGGTGTCGTAGGTCGTAGCGCTTGTTTGCGCCAGAGACCACGTCGGAGTACGTGGGCACGCCGAAGGATTGAGGCACTGGCCAACATAGAACAGGTGGCCCCAGGAAGTATGTCATTTTTCGTCTGACGCTTAACCAGTCGGGGCTGCCGCCCGGTCAGCCGTGGGACGAGAACCTCTACCGCTCAGGGGGAAGTCCGCATAGCTCAAATCGGATCGTTGCGCTGGGCCCAGA